CCACACCCCTTCACCCTTCAAACCAAAGCCTAAATCTAGCTCCTTAGACCACTCAACCAAACTATCTTGAGCGATGTGTTTGCACAACCAAGATGGTCAAGCTATCTCGAGACTTGAGATTGCATCACGATGCATGGGACGTGTTGTGAGGAACCGAGATGACGATGAGATGCAACGTTGTTGTGTCGCACACAATTGAACATGCATGCATAGGCAGAGTGTATGGTGAAACAAGTTTTGATTCCACATAAGTGATGTTTGAATGTCGACGTTGCGTCACACCCAATTGAACATGCATGCATAGACAGCGTGTGTGGGTGAAACAAGTTTCGATTCCACATAAGTGATGTTTGAATGTCGAAGGTAAACCTTGCTTAAGGTCCAACAAAGCCACAAAGCCAGGTGAAAAATGTGAATTTAGATTGAATACCTCAAAAACCATAAGTGATGTTTGAATGTCGAAGGTAAACCTTGCCTAAGGTTCAACAAAGCCACAGAGCCAGGTGAAAAATATGAATGTAGATTGAGTACCCAAAAACCATAAGTGATGTTTGAATGTCGAAGGTAAACCTTGCCTAAGGTCCAACAAAGCCACAAAGCCAGGTGAAAAATGTGAATGTAGATTGAGTACCCAAAAACCATAAGTGATGTTTGAATGTCGAAGGTAAACGGTAGATTGAATACCCATAAAGCCTTGCCTAAGGTCATTTATTATTGGTATAAGAGCCAGGTTTTGATCCTGGGACCTGTGGGTTATGGGCCCACCACGCTTCCACTACACCACTCTGATTAGTTAATTATTATCATTTTGATTCCTAACAGATGCATTTAAAACCGTGAGACTGACGACGATACATAACGGGCCAAAGTATACAATATTTGCTGGCGATCGACTTGGCTATTACAGAACCTAAATCACCATAAATGAATTCACTCCAAGGAATCTTATGCTTACACTCTTCAATGAGAGCGGTAGTTATCTTTCGAGAAAAATACTTTGAAAGTCCTTCAATGAAGCGCATCATCCATAATTAAAGGGTACTATCATATCTTGTCATAACCTTAGTTACAATTATATCTTTGTACCATAAGAAGTAGCTAACTTTTCGCATCTTATAATTATAAGAATTTTCTCAAACGTTTAGTATGGATTTCTAGTTTACCTACGACAAACTTTGAGACAATATATAAAAGGGTATTAACGGCTATTCAACACTTATATCATTCTCCATAACTTGAGATATTCTAATTTAACTTTTTATATTTGTACTTCTTTTTCTATAGTAGTATGGTTGACTATCCTTTTCTTTTCTTCGTCGGAGATATGCTTCTCCAACCCATCCTTGAGTACTCCTGTGAGACCAAAAGTTACAATTTGAGCAATAGCGTGGTCAAACTTACCTCGAAGCCTATATGCGCTAGCTCCCATCAACATTTTGTTGATTACATTTATGACTAGATGACCGAATAGACCATCTATATTCCACTTATGTATGCATGTTCCTTCATAGGTGGATTGAGTCATTTGAGTTTTTTCTTCCAACGGAACATCGGGGAAAGAGGGCGTAGGATACCAAATTTTCTTCATCTAGTTTTTTGGACTTTGTCCTCTAATTTAACCAATTTTGTTGATGAGGTCTAGTTTTTTTTGGAAGATTGTTTAGTTTTTCTTCAATCAGAGCAAGTGCCTCTTCTGTTGAGCAGAGACAGATTACTTTGTCTAAAATAACTAGTATGAACAAAAGAACTTTCCTCAACTTTTTAGGGATCTCATGCTAGTAATATTTGCAATAGTTTTTTTTTATTTCTTTTGTTCTCGTTTTTCCTTAATGTTTTCTTCAATCTTCTTAACTTGTCTTGCAATGGTTGAGAGAATCTTGTTTGAGAAGTTATTTTGATGTTGGATATTTAGGATATCCTTCGTGGTTATAATGCCTGTTAGTTTATTTAATCTTGTATTGACCATAATTCATTTGTATTTGCTCGTTGTATTTTAAATTAGGTTAGTTTTAGTATTTGTGGCTAAGATCAAGGGAAATTATTAGCAGTTATTAATGTGTGGCTAAGATTGCAAGAAGTTAGTTTTTCTTTCTGTCTATACATGTATTGTGTAACAAGTTGAATAAAACAAGTAAGTTGGTTTTGTTTATTTTCTAAGTATTGTCTCTCTTAGAGAATAACGTTATTGTGCAAAAATAACTTTCTTGTATGTGTGTTTCTGTCATTTGGTATCAGAGCGTGGTTACATGCCAAAGATCATGCCGAGAAATAATAACAACACTAGAGAGAGAGGAGAGTCGTCGAAGTCTGCAACAAAGGAAGGTCTGGTATCACTCCAATACCCGACGTTATCGAGAACCACCTACTCAGCATGGGCTATGAAGATGAAAGTCTATTTGCATGCTCAAGGGGTGTGGGACGCAATCGAATCAACTGAGTCTCTGGATAGTCTTGATGAAAGGAAGGATAAAATGGCCTTAGCAGCTATCTATCAAGCAATCCGTGTGGAGATGTTGTTCTTGTTAGCAGAGAAAGAGATAGCAAAAGAAGCATGGCAGACGTTAAAAATTATTCATGTCGGTGCTGAACATGTAAAGGAGGCAAAGATCCAAACTCTGAAGATTGAGTTCAAAATTATGAATATGAAGGAGTCCGAGACTATTGATGATTATGCAGCAAGGTTGACAGGAGTTGTTAATCAAATATGTACTTTTGGAGACAAGTTTGAAGAGGCATACTTGGTGAAAAAATTTCTCCGCTCAGTACCTTCTGTTAGATAAAACCTGAGGTTTTCCTTATTTAGATTTACACGTTTTCATTAGTTGATTGAATACCTTCGTTTGACCACTCGACAAACACGTAGAATGGATTACTAAATTTTTAGATGTCAATTTTGTAGGAAGTGGCACAGATTTAGTGGCCACTCTCAAGCCATTTTTAGGATAAGTTAGATATTTAAATAGGTAAATCTGTTGAGAAGATTTCATCACCTCCTTTTAAGCAAAAGTCTTCAGCAATTCTCTCTCTTATTTTTCGCATTTTTATTTTCTTCCAACAACTTCCCCATTTCATTATCGAAAAACAACAAGTAGTATAGAGCCCGATTGAAGCCATCGGTGGTATATCATTGCAGAGGAGGCAACTTTATCAACAATCAGGGGGAGGGGAGCGAGTGTTCGCTCAAATCGGCTGAGGAGCCAATTCAACTGAAGGAGGGGGGG